GTTGGCTCAACGCCTTTTACGTCCATTTAAAAACAAATTTCTTAGTGGATTTTTACTGAAAAACGTTGATTAAAGGAACAAACAGAAATCAATGTAAATTTTCAGTTATCAAGGATTCTCAATCTTTGGAAGTCTTCAAACTTTGGAGTCTATTTCCTCACTAATTGTATCTCTGAAACCAGGTGGACTCTACCTCTTTCAATTGCAAATATCTCGACTTCTATTCAAGATAAATTGGTATTTTTTTTATCAAATTCAAAGCAAATGAACAAGCTTTAAGATTATATAATCCTCCTACATGCCCGAACGTTGACGAGCGTCTTATTCCACTGCGTCTTGATATAAAAGTGTCTGGACATAGTGGAATCAGGGGCTCGTCTATGTTTCGGCATTTTGAGGACAGATACGTTTCCCTTCAAAGAAAGAGTTGTGGGAAATATCTGACGAAAAATTAAGTATGATGAAATATACCCCAAAAAAAACCCCAGATTTCCCCTATATGCTTAAATGTTTGGCTTTTAAAAAATACAACGCTAAAGTTACCAAAATACACTGGGACACCGTGCACAGCATGTCGGAAACTCGTCTAAAGACCATTTCATGGTTGATACTACATAACATCTTCCCCACTAAATATATTATTGCATAAAAAAGTAAATTAAAGAATTTACAAATTGTGAGTATTGCAGGGTGCCTGACTTCATTGGACACTTTTTTTTAAACTGTGTGAAAGTAAAACCCTTTGGAAGGCAATAGAAGGGGAACAACAAGCCACTCTAGATATTAGTATAAAAGTAAGTGAACAGATAGTAATGCTAGGAGACACCGGGTTGATCTACACCAACAAACGTCATCTTGAGCGCATAAACCTGGCCATAGCGATAGGGAAGTCGACTGTGTCCTAATTTAGATTTGGCACAACAAGGAATATAATAGAGCTCTACAAATCTGAGTGCAACCTCCGGAGACTATGGGCAGACCCCTCTCGATAGTAATAAGTGCCCAAACTTTTAATACCTTTGTCTTCTTTTCCATAAAGGCTATGGGGAGACTTTTTTTTCAAATTATTTTTTTTTTAGATTTGATTCCCTTGAGCTTACTTTTGAACTTGGAATGTTTGTATTTCAGAGCGATTGGCTATTTTCTAAATTATTTTTTTTGGGGGGGGGGGGAGGGGTGGTGAGAATAAGGGGAGTTTTTGTTTTGACTTTCAGAACATGATTTTAAAAAATCCTGTCACATCATGCCGGTATGTGTGAAGAACGACGAGAGTAGTGTAAGTGTTTTATTATAAATTATTTTTTCATTTATCCCACAGAGGTGTAGATAAGGTGCTATATATTTCGGCATACAAAAGATCACGGGACTCATTAGATATAACCCCTCCCACTGCACCCTTTCAGTATTAACGCAGGTCCTCAGAACTATCCTCAACTATCTGTCGCTCACCCTCATTCCAACAAGTATGCAGATTTGTCAATAAATGGGGAAATGTTACACACCCGTGTTATAGCTAGTTTTGGAGTAACCAACTGATCAGATGGTATTTAATTCATTTGTTATTATTATTATTATTTGTCTTGTTTTGTTTGCGGCGTTAAAGAATATTTTATTAAAATTTTTCATTATAATTACTATTATTATTTTTTTTTTTTATGTGTGCTTAACAGGTAGCTTGCAGGGTTCAACTGGGGAGGGTTGAACTGTTAGGAAGTATAGAGGGGCTTCCCCCGGGTAAAGTGGATTCATTGTAGTGTGGCATTGTGATGACTCCACTCGCCCCGGGACGGTGAGTCGTCCAACTGGTCAACCCACCAGGCATGCTACTTATTATTGTTGAGAACAATACGTGAAATAAAAGTATACTAAACAGGATATGTCCGACTAACATCAACGCAAGAGCGCACATATTGAGAAAAGACAAGACATACAGAAGCAAACACAAAAACACTACCCCCATACAAGTAAAACGTGTATCTCTATCTGTTCCCTCCTACCAACTCGTCTTGGCCCAGTAGTTTAGGTACTGATACGGAAAATGTCACCACCATAGTATAAGACTTCGGGCAAACTTTCGGAACCTTCGGTGATACTGTAAAGATGACTCCACTTGGGAGCGGGACAGAAGATGCCCACCTACTGACTCATAAAAGCTGAGGAATGTAGGACTAACATGATCTAGACAATTAACTACTAACCACTTGAGGTAGCCATCTCCAGTTGGGGCTATGGCAACACTTAGATGTGAAGAAACATAATATTTACTTATTTATTAATGTATTCATCAATATGTGTTTTTTATGGTAGAGGGTTTTACGGCGCTCGCAACTACATAAGGTCTTATGAGCATTAATGTAAAGCATTTTTCTGTGTATTTACTCTAAGACTAACAACTGATTTCAAAACCCAAAATGCAGCACAGTTTGTTCTTATTACTAAACACAAAAGCGGCTGATGATAAAATTGGGCAGGGTTAAAAAAAAAAAGAAAGAAAACCAAACACACACACACAAAAAAACGAGTCATTGATCACCAAAGTTTGTGGCGTCGGTGGCCTAGTGGTTAGGCCCTCGGACTCGCAACTGTAAGATCGTAGGTCGAATCCCGTCAGCGGCCCGACGTTGTGTCCTTGGGAAAGGCACTTTGCACAAATTTTCCTCACTTTACCCAGGTGGAAATGGGTACCCGGCTATAGACAGTGAACGATCTTGTCAGTCTGATAGTGTTTGAGCGCGTGAAATCCGCAGCTTGCACTGTATGCTTCCGCGGAAGCCAAGAATGTTTCTGAGTGTTCTCAGAGGGTCTGCTGGGAT